GCCATGTATGAACTGAATGATGTTGCACTGTTGGTATATTGGTGTGTATGGATCATGTGAGAGTTATATGATGAGACATTTAAGCAAGGCTTAACTACGATGTGTATATGAGATGAAAGGGATGGATGTACAATTATGAATGCATGACGTGATAACGTGATAATGCATCAAGTCTTGTGTGACATGCATCATATGTATAACTATTTTTTGATCGGTACGATATGAAATATATTTCTAAGGAAGGTCCCCCTTGTATGAAAGTTCAAGGATCCATAACCTTGGGGGTAACTAGGTTTGAGAGTCTCAGTTTTGCTTGTTTATGTGCATAGAGTGTATATTGCACGACACCATTATCCCAATGCGTCTCGATGTATTTTGTCCTAGTGTAAAGTGTGATGAGGGTGTGATGACCCAACATGATCTCCTATGTTAATTTGTGTGTTGTCATATAGAATGCATCACAATGTGATTTTACTGGTATCACATGCATACGCATTTTGTAGTCCATGTCTATTGCATTATTTGTGTGAAGTGGGACTATGTGATGGATCATTCATATTTTTGTGTTAGACTGTTATATATTACCACGTGTTGTGCCTCATTGTTATGATAAATTGTGAACACTAAGTCCTTATTGTCTTATTGTTCTTGTTGTGTGTTTAACTATCTTGTTATATTCTACATCGTAAGTTAGAATGAGATGCTTCTCACCCCGTATTTATTGAAAATGTTTAATGTGAATGTTGTTGCAAGTGAGACTCAACATGATGATGATAATGTTGGAAACAAGGCTTAAACCTTACCTTGGGTTCATACTATGATAAAATGTAGTACTAAGCTTAGTTAGGACTTTAATTATGTTATATGTTCATGTTTAGGACAACTCTTAATTTTCATTATTGTTATTATCCATAAGCATTTGTTGGTATTTTATTTTTAGTTATTATTTAATGTGATATCTTCTTGTTGAACTTGTATTATTTATATAATTATGAATTTCTTTCTATTCAATTTTAAATATTGTGCTTTATATGATATGTGAAGTAGAAGGTGTAATTTTAAAAATAACTTATTTTTAATAATTATTTTAGAAATACAATTCAATTTCATAAACATAATTTAATCATTTATATTAATTTATAATTTTTAATAGTCTATATTATATTAATTTGATATTTTTTTATTCTAGATTAAACTTGTTATTATTAATAAATATTGTTATATTTTGTTAAAATTTAAATTTAAATATTATATTATATAATTTATAAATAAATTTTATTTTAAATCTTTATATTATAAAATTATAATGTATGTTTGGTTAACAATTTAAAATCATATTTAATAAAAAAATATGTATTTTGATAAATAAAATATCTTGAGTGTATTTTTTTTTTAATTTTAATTGAATTCAACTCAACTAATATCTAAACACACCTAATCAATTAAATAATTTGTATGAAGATTAAAAGTTGTATTATGATTTTTTAAATAACTAAAAGTGAACCTTTTGTCAGGATTATGAATACTTAATTTATTCTACCTTGACTTACTTTTTAAAATTAAACATAAAATAAATAAAATTATATTGTCCAGTATCATATATTTTAACAAATTAAATGGATCAAGACTCAATTTATATTATTTCATGTATTAATCATTTTTAAATTAAAATACCTCTGATTAAAATGTTTTTTTAATTTAATGAAATATGCTAATTATAGATTCTTTAAAAAATATATTTTTTAATTGGTTAGGAGAGAGAATAATATTAATTAAGAAAAATAAGTACTATAAGACATATATTCTAATTAGTTAAAAAAATTATTAGGAGAAAAAAATAGTATAAAGGTAATTTTGAAAAAAATATAAAAATAAAATAAATATATTATTATTAATTAAATTAACTATTTTTATTTAATTAGGTAGTATTAAATCAGTTAGTGATAATTAATAACAATAATTTTATTCTAAAATTAATAAAGATAATTAATAATGTCTTAATTTAAAATTTTATTCTAAAAACACTCATAAAATATAAGTGATAGTTATATTTAATAATACTACTCAAAAGTCATTGTCCAATAAATATAAAAGATAAATAAATGACTCATTTATAATCTATAATAAATTAAGAGTATAAAAAAATTATTAATTTTTTTATGAATAAAAGAAATTACTAATTAATAAAATTAAAAGTAAACTTAAATTTCTTATAATTATAATATAAATATAATTCTCATTTATTTTTTTACATATAGGAATTGAAGTAATATCATTTATTGCAATTCTTAATAAATCCATTTGACTTGGAATAAAAATGCAACGGAGAAGAAAAAAGTAGGTAGGATGTTAAATTTAATATTATTTTTTTACTAAATTATCTTTTTGAATCTTCTATATATCTAATTTTTATTTTTAATTTTTAATTTTTAATTATGTAATTTAATTTTTTAATTTTATAAACCAACTAATTTTGATCTCCTCATTGAATTTTTATATATTTTTTTACACTATTATTTTATAAATTATATATAAAAATTAATTAATTAAAAGTATAAAAATCTTAAACTAATAGCGTATAAGAATTAATTTCTCTTCAAAGTTATTTGTTATTAAAATAATGATTTAATAATTATTTTTCTAATGTATTTTTTTAATTAAGATATTCTACAAACTTTCTTCCGGTGGCAAAAATTTAGTAGGTTTTTTTTTTATGTGTTTGTTAATTAATGTTGTTTTAAAGTATTGATTAAGAAGCATTTAATATATTTCATTTCACATATTTTTAATTACTTAAAAATAGATATTCAATAATTATTATTATTAAACATAATAAATTTTATATTAAATTATACTTTTGGTCTTTCTATTATATTTAATTCACACATCAATTTTTAAATACATAATTTTATAAACTCACAATTTTGTTCTTTTTGATTAATGTTTATTTAATGCTTGTCATGATATGATATTAAATAAATGACATAATAATTAATATTTAATAATATTTAAATTAAATTTTAATTTTAACTCTATATTTATTTTATAAAAGTGATAAAATAAATATAATTATAATATAAATATTATTAAATATTAATTATTATGTCATATATTTTATTATTATTATATATATGAGATCATGATTGATATTATAATTTTAATGATCAATTGATGTACATTTAATAAGTGAAGCATATTTACATATTTTAAAAATTCGAGGAAAATAAAATAGTAAAATTAAAAATTAAAAATTAAAATTGAGAAATATATTTGAGAATTAAATATTATAGAAGATTAAAAGTATGGTTTATTTTATTATTTTATACATAAATAAAACAATATGGCTATATAATCTTATTTTAAATTATATACCAGATATATATCCAGCCATAATTTAAAAATAACTAAATCTTATATTAAATTATCAAGACATTAAGTAATAGTTTAATCAATTTAACTCGCTAAATTTATAAGTAAACCACAAATAAACTACTCCTAAATAACACTAGTATAATATTTAATCTAAAGATATAAGCAAGTGATAATGGTAGTACAATACTTCTATGTAAACTTCAAAACATTGACACCAAATAAATCATCATGAAATAGTATAAAACTGATTTTGTGAACTAGATTTCTTTTCTACATTCTCAGTTAATCTCTATGTGAATAAAACAAAACCCTGACATTTTAGTCTTTCTGTGAGATTTTTTTTTAACGTTTGAATCTTTATATTTATATTTTTCATTTTGCGGTGATTTTACATTGTTAAAAAACTAAAATAAAAAATTAATATATAAAAAAAATATTTGTATTAAGACTAAAGGAACTTTTTAAAAAATAACTAATAAAATTTAGAATAAATATAAAGATCAAATAATTATTTAGACAAACCCCAAGCGTGTGGTTCAGTGGTAGGGGTTGATCCACGCTTAAGCAAGGTCAGGGTTCGAATCCTGCCTTGTGTATGTAACCGCGTTAAATCTTGGGGGTGCCTCTAACCTAGCGAGAAGATTAGTCAAAGAAATAAGAGAATTTAAAATTATTCTACTTACTTCCTCCGTCATGTAATAAATATCGCATTAAAAAAAATAAATGTCACATTAATTTTTAAATATAATATTAATTAATTTCTTTTTTATTTATATAAATAATAAGTATTACTTTTATTGTTATTTATAAGATTCAACATAAAATAATTATTTATTCTTTTATATAAGATCGAATTCATAATATTTAATGTATTGATTATTATTAAATTAAATACTTTTAATTAAAATATTTTTTTTAATATGCTAAAATATATTAATTATTTACATTTTAAATGACATGAATTATAGTTAGTTAGAAAAGTAAACAATACTATGAGAAATAATATAGACATGCACTTTAATTAATTTAAAAAAATAATTTTAAAAATATATAAATTTAACAAATTTATTATTGTCAATTAGATTATAGTCATATGTGTTTTATTGGATACACATATGAATTTAAGACACAACAAATCGCATCCAAATAATAAAAAAATGTGAAAGCTATATTGGATAATTTATATTAATATATATTACATAAGCGTATATTAACATATTTACGCACTCGATGGCTTTTCCACCAAGTAAGTGTTTACAATCCGAATCCAATCTCTGCTGTTATAAAGCATATCAAAAGAAATAAATAGTGTATAACAGTTATAAAAATAAACTAATTTACCATATACAGAATCATTCATGAATAAATGGCATAAAACCTCTTTTACATTCTGATTCTTGCATTTAAATTCTCCCCATATTTAATTCTTCACTACGTAAATGACATTAATATTATTTTATGGTAGATATTTAATATCTTTTATATAATACTTAAAATCAGAGAAAATTAAAAGAGCAAAAGTATTTATTGTTGAGATAATAATTAGATTAAATAAAAAAAAATAATAATAAAATAATATGAGTTAGAGCAGTGAGAACGTAACCGTTTTTTAATCTCCGGATCCTTCACGCGAAGTTGCAGTCTCTTCGTCTTTCTATTGACTCTCTTCCAATCAGCAAACACGCCATGACCCTCTATTTAACCGCCACCGCAATTCCCGCTCGCGCCGCCCTCCTCCGCCGCCGTTAATGCATCCCTTCTGCTGCGTCTCCGCCGTCTCCGACCACTCCTCCCCCTTCGCCATGCCGCCTCTCCCGCCCGCCGCCGCCGCCGCCAGATCCGACTCCGCTCCCCGACACGGCCAACTCCAGCACTGCATCGCCAACGGCAGCCTCCCGCCGGCGCCGGCCGCGGTGGACGTGAGGATCAACGACCTCGTGGGGAACGGAATCTCCGGGATTCTGCACAAGTGGGTGAACTACGGGAAGGGGTGGAGGCCGCGCTGGTTCGTGCTCCAAGACGGCGTTCTCTCCTACTACAAAATCCACGGACCCGATAAGATCGTCGTGAACTCCGAAACCGAGAAAGGATCCAAGGTCATTGGCGAGGAATCCGTGCGCATCATTTCGCGCAACCGGAATTCCAGCCACGTCAACCATCGCCGGAACCCTGTCGGCGAAATCCATCTCAAGGTTCATTCGTCGTTTCCTCTTTCTTCTGTTTTCTTTAGTTGTTGTTTATTTTCCTTATTACTTTCGTTTCTGTTATCACGCTGGAAATTCAGAGGTTTCATTATTAGTAAGAGTTTACTTGTGTGAATCTGAATATCCGATTTATCCAATGTTCGTTTTCTTAGTGATTATAGACGGAACTAGTTATTAACGGAGTTTTCAAGTTTTAAATCGTGCTGTTTTCGTTTGATCCTTGTTGTTGCAGAAAATTGTGAATAAATGCAACTGCAATTGCGGTGGTGGACTTTTTTTTTTTTTTTTTTTTTTTTT